CACTTTTCTAGATGTCCAGAAGGCATTCGATCAGGTCTGGCACAACGGACTTGTTCGGAGGCTTATGGACATTGGACTCCCCTTACAATTCACTAAAATCATAAACTCCTACCTTACAAATAGAACGGTTAGAGTGCGAATAAGCGACCAACTATCGACCCCCTTCACTCCTCGAGCAGGAGTTCCACAAGGCTCAGTTCTCGCACCCCTGTTGTACATCACATACAACAGCTCTATCCCCATCTCGAACACTCCACACACCCATCTGTTTCTCTACGCGGATGACACTGCACTCCTAGCGACAGGGAGTGATTACCTTCCTTTGGCCACCTTTAGAAGAGCACAAGCTCAACTAAACGGCATCGAAGAATGGTGCAATAAGTGGAGAGTCACGTTAAATGCAGGGAAAACCCAAACCATTGTGTTTCGGGCCCCTCACACCTCACCACGACTCATCAACAATCGTGAGGACCAAACTCCCCTATACCTGATGGGAGAAAGGCTCGTAACTAGTCCCACAGCTACCTACTTGGGCGTTTTATTCACTAAAACACTCAATTGGGCACCTGATCTAAAGGCAACTTTAGATAGGGTCAGAAACAGAGCCCGTCTCCTAGTCCCGCTATCGGGAACGTTTGGCAAAACAAACAACGTGACTCTCACTCACACTTATAAAACCTTTATTCGGCCCGTTATTGAGTATAAGGCGCACTTATATTGCCTTCTCAAAGATCGTCAGAGGGGTGCACTCCTTGCTGCTGAGCGTAAAATTCTGCGTAGGACATGCAGAAAGCGGTGGTCCTTTCCCTCACGTGAAATCCATAGACTGGCAAATACCATCCCCATTCTCGAGAGAATAAAAACTCTCAACAGGAACTTCACTCTCAAAAACATCAATGGCCCCCCATCTAACACCCAAGATACCCTCAAAAGTTCCTGCATTTTCAGAGGTCATGTAGTAACTCGTATTCCCAAACAAAAACTCCCTCACCCCCCCTCAATCTTGATGCAAACCTGCATTAATGATCTTCCGGAAGACTACTACAATATTCTCGAGGCCACTCCACTTGCCTATCGCCGACCCTAAAACCTTTACCACACACATATCCTATCCTTACCCCGGACAGGGGGAGATTGGTTTTTTGCGGTTTCCCAATCTCACTACTCAATGATACCTGTCCGTCCCTGAGAAAATAGCCGCAACTATTTTCTCACACACACATACATACACAACACACTGACATTCACACAACATTACTCACACACCCCAACAGTGGAAGGGGTCCTCTTTCAAGCTACCGATACACCCTCATCACTGGGACCCCCGACCGCCCGCAGCCTCCGTTACTTTACACGGGGTCTGCGGTCGGCCGGGGTTATCTAGGTGATTCGAGGAGTCAGTAACAACGAAATGGTAGCGTCCGCCACTGTTGGAACACACATACATCCACTTAGAGCGAAGTGCGACAAGCCGACTCTCGAAAGCCGAGGCGCCTCCATTCACGAGCACACTCGTCCACAAAATTTCAGTGCAATACACTGGTTTTGGGGCCGGGTTAAGCTCGAGACTGCACAGGACCAATGGTCACTAGAGACCCGACCTTGTCGTACCTAGCTCTAAAACAACAAAACAAGACAAGAAAAGAACCACACTTACACTGACAAACCCTTCACTCTGGTTCTCTTGACTCTGTCTGTCTAACTCCTCCAGGCGAAGAAGGTGCCACAACAACAAAACAACAAAACGGAGAAGATCTTTGCGCCGGGGATTTTTGGGTGCTTGCCTTTGTGCGTGCTATACTACACAAACATCCAACTCAAGCCTGAAGAGGGTCAAACGACCCTAAACGGGTACAATGTAAAATTCTATCCCCACGAAATAAAGTTCCTATACCTATCCCACAAGAATTAACATTGAATCAAAAATCATAGAGGCAGAATCGTCAGGTGTTGACTGAAGGTTCTCTTCTCCCCTACCCCGGCTTGTGGACGTGTTGAGTTCACAAGTTGTTTCCGTTCCTTACCGCCAGCCGGAGAGCGTGTTGAGCTCTCCATTACCCGTACTCCGAAGCAGTCGTGTTGAGACTGTCGAGGAGTGTCCTATTAACCCGAATCACTTGAGGGACGTGTTGAGTTTCTTTCTTTCCTTTGTACCTATCGTCCGCTGTTATTAAATCGACGCATCGTTCACGTAAAATTCCGAAAACACACTTGATTGCCGATAACACTAATTTCATACGACAAGGTCAAACTTAATTTGAATAAATAGGCCAGGTACTGAGAAGACTAAACTAAATTGTAAATATGTACATAAGATTTTTGTCAATTTAATTTAAGGAAGACAATAAAGTTTTATTTTTATTTTGAACTCTGTCTCTGACTGTCCAAAAGCTACCCGGATAGTGACTCCTACGAGAGGACGTCACAACTTTAAGTGAAAAGTAAGTCTGACCCTGTACACCTGCTATAACAGGTATATCGGTCTTTTCTAAAATCGGTTATTTGCGGGTAAAACTGGATTTGTTTATTGACAACAATAACAAATAATCACAATTTGCTAAATTTAATGCCAATTTAACTGGATATTATGTAAAGAGTTTATACACTTACAGTTTATTTTAATATATCACTGAGATTAATAATGTATACCATATTAAACTTTGTAAATGTTAAAAATATTCGGAGCCCATATTGAATACAACATTATAATTATCGATGCAGAACCGAACTGCTTAATACTGTTTGTAGTGTTTACTACCTGAGGGAGCCTTGTACTGGCTACCTACATCATGAGAGTTGAAAATCTTTTGATTCCAACCCTTACTTCAAAGGACTTGTGAATGGATGCATCTCCATAGGTTTGGTTCTTCAGTGACCGTTGAAGGATAAGGATTCTTAATGTGAGCAAATATAGCTCCAAAGAAATAAAATCACTTTTGAGTTTATCGATTTACAATTAAATCTTTTAAGAGTAGAGAGGCCCAACACGGCCGTAACTTACTATACCATATCAAATGTACTCTTTCTTTATAACACGTAAAATAAACACGAGAGAATAAAACGAGAAAATGCCCTAATTCGGCGGAGAGAAATGTTATATTTAACACGTGAATTGCGAGTATTTAACTACTCGCTGTGGTGGTTCCAGGGCCATGTGTAAACTTGAACTTCTCTTACTGCACTGATAAAACACTACCTAATGCGTAAAATGGGAAGCTTACCCCTATTTTATTTAGGTGTGAAAAATATTTAACAGGGTCAGACGCCAAACGCCAGGGTGTCGCGTTTAAACTTGATCACGTGTGTGTTCTAGTTATTATACACTAAGAAAAGTCAAAGAATTACATTTTTATTTTATATTTTAAAAACAATATGTTCATTTCTGGAACACTACCATAATCTCTTATTAATTATTATTGGATAATTTTTACACAAATATTTGTCACAAATAAGTATCCTCGAGTTGGTTTAAGGCCAGACTTCCTCGAGGTCAACACCAAATTGAGCTGCCGTATCACCATGACGTCGAAGCCATACACATAAAAAAAGAAGAACAAGAAGAAATTTGGAACGTCAAAAAATGCATATGAACCTAACTCGATGATATAAATAGATGTTTGTGACCGTTTAGAATAGTAGTTGTAATTGAGATTTAAAAGTTTGTTGTTGCCAGTCTGTTAAAGTACTGTAAACAAGGTAGTGTTAAATAAAGTGAAATAATATAAACAGATGTTGTTGATAGTTTGTATCAATGGACTGCAGGAGTGTGACGTCACGACTGTCACATTGTCATTATTACTTTCCAAACAAACGTTGAAATGTCAAATCTCAAGACTCTTTAATTTCTATAAAGTTAACATTTTGCTTCCTCTGCTGCTTTTTCTTGTAAGTATAGTGTTTTTTTTACGATAATACCATCATAATTCAGAGCTCTATTTATATAAAATATGGTTTAAAAATTTAAATTAAAGAAATTTTAACCTTACTTTATTGATACTTGCATTTTATTCCTATTAGAATAAAACAATGTGCTTTATTATTTATACAACCTTGTAAAATTGTTGTAGTAACTATTAGAATACTTAAATATTGCAAAAAGCGGAAAGATTCTATAAAAAAATGAGAAAATATCGAAAAACACAAATTATCCACACTAAACAAAGTTTGTTTGGAAAGTGAAACTGACAGATGTCAATAAAATCTACGTCCTCACTCCTGTGGTCCATTGTATTTTTAGTTTTGTAGTTTATAGTTGTCATTCAGTTAAAGTTGTAGTAAGTATTGTAATATTGTTCCCGTTTTAATAAAGTAATTTTAAATAAATGTAAAAATATAGATAAAAAACTCTCGGACAAGTTGATGAACCTCAATAAACGATAAATTAAAACTGTTACCAAAATGGTGATGACATTGTTGTTTAAGGGAATATCTAACAAATCGGTGAATCAGAAAATGCAAAATGAAAAATAAACTTTCATACACATTTCACAAAATTCTTACTTACTGAGCGATGTGAGGTGAGATTTTACTGGTTAATTGAATATTGAACCAGAGGAGATCGTTAAAGTGAAATTAAGGCTTAATTTCACATAATTAACTGGCCTTCGTTTCTTGAAACAAAACAGGGTATGTTACAAAGGTCTTATAGCCATGTGCCAGAGTTTGAAGTGTTTTGCTTAATCTAAGAAGAAGAATAAGGACTATATCATAATTATCGATAGATTAGTGTAATAACAACATTTCTCGATTATATAACTACTGTTCAATACAATAGCGCTTGCAAAGTTTTTTCAAGTAGGTATTCAATTACCATCCTTTAATAATAGTTAGGTAAAAAATATATAATAGTAATAATAATAATACAGTGGTAAAGTAGTGCTGGGAATAAATGCAGAAACGCCTTCAAATATTTTTTTGTTAGACCAATCAATACTATATTTAAAACACTATTTAAAAACGTGCTATTTAACATTCCCAAAATGAATTACATATATACGTACTTGCTGTAGAAGCTGCAGCTGCAGCACCATATTCATTAACATCAATGTATGTCTTTTGGTCAACCTTGGAGACCTCAAGTTTATTATCGGCGATTCCAGAAAGATCAGCATCGTTGAATATATCTGTCATGCCCAACTGGAAGAAGAATAATTTTGTTTGTTTAATACCTATATATAGTACTGATTAAAAAAATGATGATTAAAAAAATACAATAGTATTCCTAAAATTCTCATATTTAAATAGTATGAACCAATTCATAATACAGTGTCCTGCTTCCATTTATACAACAAGATGGCCAACTATCAACCTCAAATCAATTTTGGGGATAGACTCCTTAAATATAATAAACACCCAAAATACTTAGGTGTTACACTTGACAGAACGCTGAACTTTAAATAGCATCTTACTAAGACTGCTGCAAAACTCCGAACTCGTAACAACATGCTGTAGAAGCTCTGCGGCACTACATGGGGCTCCTCAGCACCCACACTTAGATCGACAGCACTAGGACTGGTATACCCCGTAGCGGAATACTGTGCACCAGTATGGATAAACAGTCCACATACTCACCGTGTTGATGTCCAACTCAACCAAGCCATGCGAACTATATCGGGCACAATCAAAGCGACGCCCACTTACTGGTTACCAGCTTTGAGTCATATAGCTCCACCACCCATCCGCCGGGAACATGCCCTTGTCAGAGAATTTACAAAAATCAATACTGATCCTGAGCTCCGCTCCCATATCGGAACTTCCGCCAGAGATATAAATAGGCTCCGTTCAAGACACCCGCCTCTAAAAACAGCAAAAAGGCTAGTAGATCAAAACTTTAATGTAACTGAACGGTGGAGAGAACAATGGGAGAATAACGCTGCACCAGCTAACTGGAACATGCCATGTATTACAAGCAAACCTGAGGGCTTCAACCAACCGAGACGAATTTGGACCACACTCAATAGAATAAGGACGAACTGTGGCAGATGTTCCGACTCACTTTTTAGATGGGGAAAAATACAATCACCAAATTGCGACTGCGGCGCCGAAAGGCAAACAGTAAAACACATGGTAGAGGAATGCCCGATTAGATCCTATAATGGCAACCCTTCAGATTTCCTGGCTGCTACACAAGAGTCAATCGAATATATTTATAATCTAGATGTTTGTTTGTAGAATAATATTTTTATATTTACTGTTGTTTGTAATTTATATAATTTATATTTATATATTTATATTTATATGAACCTGTGATGTAGCCATACGCTAAATAAATAAATCCATAATAAAGGTGTTATGACTCAGATACCGCAGATTGCTGCCCAATGCGTTGGAGAAGCACATCGCCAAACTTCGTTAAAGAGATGACCTTCGAGAATTCCATATCCTTCTGATGATTCGACCGTCGCACAGAGAGGTATTTTACATAAAATGCTCGTCAAAACCAAAATTTTAAAAACAAAATATTTCGGACCGATTGTTATTCCTTAATCAGGTAGTTATATGTGACATTATCTGGTGCTATCCCCTTCCCAAATAACTAAACCAAGCAAATTTGACAGCTGTCAAAGGCGATTTTTCGCCGCCACAAAAGTAAAAGAGATCTGCTAAGCAGAAGAGTCCTTTGTCCTCCAGTTTGTGTGTTAAGACATTGGGCAAACACCTCAATTCTAAAAAACATACCATCAAAATTTTTAGTAAGAGTTAAAATCAGGTGAACATAACAAACGACGACTTGACAAATAAAAAAAATATGCATTTGGGCACCCGAAATATTATAGGACAGCATAATCAATAGAAGAAGGTTTGTAAACAAAATAAAACACTTTCATATACTAATGAAAAATAAACTGGCTTTCGTATATAAAGAACCTTCTATAAAACGTTTAAACAACGGATCAGACTCAATAGTATCTACCGCTTCACGCTTTTGTTTTAAGTTGCTTCTTGAAAGGAAAATAAATGCGATCAATATGAATAATGTCTAAGATATTAACTATTCATAAAAAAGTGACACAAGAAAGTTCTCCACCTACAAGAAGAATTATTGCAATAAACTACATGACTAAGTTACGCATGAAAATGACCAAAATAGCTTTTGTCTAAGAAGGCCTTCCTTTGACAATCTGTTTTGTTTAAAAGAGTTAATAAAAAATAATAACCAGCACATTCGTAAGATTCATAAATGGAACCAGTCGACCATGAAACTATTGGTAGTAGAAGGAAAGGTGGAAAGTCGAAGACCAAGAGGAAGATCTTCGAAGAACACGATGGGCAGACCAAATAACCCCTCTGGTGGAAAAATCAATCCCTACCTGAAGCCGTATATAGGATCGCAGCTTATGAAGACAGCAAGCTAATACCATTTAGAGTATCACCACGCCCTGAGAAGTGTTCAAGCGATGAGGAGGATTATTGAAAAAAATATTACAGCATAAAATTTAGTAGAAAGCGTCGTGAATACGTGTCTCCTTGCCGTACTCCTCGCTGTTAACAGATTATTTGTTTCTTGTTCAGATAGTCTTGCGCTAGCTGTGGCATTTTGGTAGATATACATTATATTAGTGTAGCGACGTATTTTACGATGTATTTCTTTGTTTGGGAAATACGTCGTAGAACAAAAACAACAGATGCTATCGCAAAAGTCGGGACTTTAAAAGGGAATTAGGCAAAACACGTCGCTAGATTATCAGACAACCGATGGACAAAACGTATTTTAGAGTGAAAACCAAGGCAAAAATCAATACGAAGCAGAGGACGCCCACTAAATAGTGGACTGACGACATGAAGCGTATTAGCAATAACTGGATGCACGTCGCACAAGACAGAGACAGATGGAAATAGCTGAGGGATACCTATGTCCAGCAGTGAACGCGTACAGGTTGATGATAATGATGATGATTAGTGTAGCGATGGTTTGATTGACATTCTGTCAATGCTTTTAACATTTTCTGATGGCCTATGGTATCTAATGCTTTCTCGTAGTCGACAAATATCAGTGCCAAATATCAATGATTTGTTGTATTCTGCAGACTTCTCTTTTAGGTTTTTTATCACTAGTAAGTAGTCGGTAGTGCTGTATCTCGATCTAAATTCAGCTTGTCTTCTAGTCTGCACGTCCAGTCTTTTTTTGATAATTTTTGTGAAAAGTTTATATTATGTGTGAAAGCAAACTGATTGGACGCAGTTTTTTAAATCTGTTATGTCTCCTGGCATGTGTAATAAAATAATGACTGCATTGTTCCATTAATAAAGAGTTTTTATTTGGTAGGTGCATTCGGTGAAAAGCTTGGCCAAAGCCTGGATTATTTTATTTCTACCTAGTTTGATTTCTTTGATTACTACTCCGTCATCGCCAGAGGAATTGTTATTTTTCATTTCTAAAAGTGCCATTTTAATTTCGTATGGAGTTATTTCTGGCATTCATTCTGATCCTTGGTTTGTGATTTTAGGCAAGGGCTGTTCTTGCCGTTGGTCAGTAATAATATTATTATCGTATGGCAATTTTTCCAGAGGAGATCCTTTAAGATTGGTCTCAGATTACTAGTGTAAATGTACACTAGCCCAGAGAAACCAACGGCTTAACGTGCCCTCCGAAGAACAATGGCGGCTTGTTGACGCTTTGGCTTAAAAGACCAGTGTCTTAGCCAGTTGCTTTACCTATTTGACCGAAAAAATGCTGAAATCACATGTATCTACACATACATTGTACCACAAGAATATGTACAAGTTGAGTAAACGTTCGGATATCAGAGCTATGTATGCACTACTTATTAAATAGACAGAAATCTTATTTGTACTTCTCATTTACTCTGGCAAAAATGTGTGGTACAAGGGTGATATCAGAGATACATAAAGGGTTTAATTATTTATAACTCGAAAACGATCAACTTTAGACTTTTTTTTTAATTGCCATATTGTCAGATTCCAGTAAGAGCCTAAGAAGGTATCCATTGAATTTTGACAGGCAACGGCGGGGAAAATCTTTTTTGGACCTCTACGTCTCGAAACAAGACACCCTGGTATCTTTCAGCCGAGTGGATACTAAACCAGAAGACCCCAAGGTAGTGCCGGATTAACCGTGTTCCTGCTAAAACCTTAACCACCGTTCCATAGAACACGGTAAAAATTTATATATAACCAAATCGATTACCGTAAATCAGAAAATGTTTCAAATTCCTTGGACAGCACGAAAAACAAACGAAGAAGTACTAGCTAGACTCAATGTAGAAAAAGAACTATTGAGAACAGTCAAAAGAAGAAAAACCAGTTATTTAGGGCATTTGTTGCGCAACGAGAAATACTACATCCCTCAGTTGATAATAAAAGGCAAAATAGAAGGAAAGCGAGGAATTGGAAGAAAAAAATTGTCCTGGTTACGTTATATCAGAAACTGGACAGGACTTGGATTTGGGGAACTCTTAAGAGCAGCTGATGGTGCCAAAACTACCATGTCCGGTGAGAAACTGCGTCAGGAAGTAGTCTAGTTTCCTAAACTTACATTCCCACCACGGTCTCAGATCAAGAATAAGCTCCTTCGTCCACCTTGCCTTTCCACTATCATTTGCCCATTCTCTCTGCCACTCTACTATCGTTCTTTCTCTTTCATTATCATGTATATTTACATCTATTCTCCTTGCATACATCCTCGCTCGTTGTTTACACAACAAAACGATCGGTATTACCGCTCCAATGATATATAGAGCCTTATTCGAGACTGTCCTATATGCACTAGACACCCTGAGAAGCATTCGCCTTTGCGAAGTCTCCATCAGCTTAGCGTATTGCGCAGTGTTTAGCATGATACTATGACTAACAAGATAGGGTCTTCCCGTAGCACAAAATCGGTCGTGTTCGCGCATGCCGTCATTGAAGAATTGAATTTGAATTCTTGTTAAAGTTAAATGGGATTTGTATGCATTCTGTGATAAAATCACTAAAAGAAAATAAGTTAAGAGGTTTAATAATTACAATAATCGTATATATAAGGATATTTTCAAACTATTTATTATTTATTGATACATTCAAAAAACTGACATTTCGAACTTGCAACTCTCCAATGACGTCACGACTTATGCACAATGACTTAGTATCATGGTGTTTAGTACACTACAACACACAGGGGCAGCGTAGGTTTGCCGACTTTAAAACTTAATTTAGCACCTTTCTTTTGGTGCTTCCTGGGCCTCCAATGTTTAGCATCAACCATTTCAACGCTTCCAGATTTCGGTTTGCCTTCTCTACTGTCTTTTGGATGTGTATTCCGAACCTTAGACCTTCCCACAACCGGACTCTCAGATATTTAATTGATTTAACCGGTGCAATCTCCACACCTTTCACTATAAAGCGAAGAGTGTATAAAGAGAGATCTTTCCTGTGTCCCTTTGAAAACTAACACCTCAGTTTTCTGAGGCGCTAGCTGTAGATCGTTCTCTCTGATCCACCTACTAATACGACGCAGGGCTGTATTAGCCGCATTAGCCATGTCCGTTTTCTGACTCGCCTTCGCACCCAGTGCAAGATCAGTGTTTGTCAGCATAAGCTACAAGAGTGTATCCCCTTGGCATCTGTAGCCTCAACACCCCGTCGTACAGGACATTCCACACGATGGGACCTAGTACTGAACCCGACAAACTGATGCTGGTATCTTTTTTTTTATGGACCTGTCAGTGAAATATCTGTCAATTACGTTGACCAGGTATTCACTAACGCCCAATTCTCTAAGTCTGGATATGATTTTTTTCCATGATGCCGTATTAAAGGCAATCTTGACATCGAGCAGGATGAGAGTCACCCATCTCTTTGTATCCTGCGTTTCTAAAGAGGTTACCTCTGTGACCTTCTTAGAGTAAACTTACAACAGATTTTTTTATAATGATCTAAAAACCGTAAAAAAATAAACTAATGAAGCGTGTGTGGCAGAGCAGGAGCTCATTTATACCATGAAAGTTCAAATAATCAAAAATATAGGCCATAGATCTTATTTCTCTCCTAAGCTTTTGAACCATAGATTACCGGTTAAAAAACAATGTTTTAAAATTAAATATGCCAAAAACACTTACCAAAAATGATAGAACAAGGTTTGATTTGAATTTAGGTCCATGGTGAATTTAAAAATAATATTTTTATTTGCGTTTTTAAGTCTTGAAAATCGTAATTTTGCGTTTTTTAGTTTTAAATTGTTTATAACTAGAAAACGACCGGTTTTGTCCAGAATGGTCAATTCAAAATTGTTTAAAACAATTTAAACAACTTTTTGCCTGGGCGAACTCTTGAAGTATATTTTGGAGCATTTCATGAAAGTGATTATGCAAAAAATCTCTTGGGACTATTTTCCCGAACAAACCTGACCTTTTTACCTTATCTACATAGATAAAATGTCAAGTAATAATAATTGTTTTTCTGAAATAAATATATTGTACATAAAACATACCGATTCTAGGATGGATGTAAAATTAATTGCTGTCTCGAGTCTGATTTTGGGCAGTTTGATGAGAACCTCCTTTATTTTCATGTTTTGAGGAGCCAAATATTCCGCGATATTTTGTTCAACAGTTCCCAGTCCATCTATTTCGTCGGGTAAAACAAATGTCATACTAATATTTGCGTCGGTAAATTCAAGCTCCAAAAATTCGGCTTTAAGTTTGTCATTGTAAGCATATTTGGTTGATGCTACGGTATACATAGTGGTGATGTTTTTAGATTCAGTGGGTGAGCTGTGGAATGTCATATCAGCAGTATTTTCTATTGGAAAAGGATTTTTCCATTCGCCAGCGAAGTATAAAGCATTGACCAATACTAATTTTGTGTTAGAATTCAACGTTTTAGAATCAACGAAATCTTGAATTCTGCTGTTAGTTTTGTGATCAACCCAGTCGTTAATCGTGTTAGCGGCCTCTTCTGAATTATTAAAGTCAAGATTCTGTACTTCTGCATCATACATTTTAACAGCAATATCGTGAAATTGATTTTTAATTAAAAAGTTTTGAGCTACGTATATTTTGTTTGCTGATAACAGTTTGGTCCGTGTTTGGTTTATTTTAAGGCGAGATGTTAAATTAGCGTACACTTTATTTACACTTTCTATATCATATGGTAATCTCAAACCTTCCAATAGTTGATATTGTGTCTCTCCTCTGGCTCCATTTGCAAGTAAAGACAATGCGATTTCTGCAGATAATCCACTAACCATAAAGTTACTACCGTTAAATATTTTCACGAGTTCCTGTAACATAAAGAGAAAGTTGTTAAAAAAAATGTAACAGTAAAAAAAGGAGTTAAGGGTTAAGAGTTAAATGTCGTGTAATGGTAATCAATAAAAAATAGCAATCAAAAGTATTGATGTATTATGTGTAGCGATATGGAAGGCAAATTAATGAATAAAATTAGGAAAATGTTGGCATTTTTTTAAATCTGACTACTTTTTTAAGTCTGGCATCATGTCTGATACAGTGTTACACATCTATTTTGAAGGTAACCACCATGTTTTAGTCAGTATATATATATATATATATATATATATATATATATATATATATGTGTATATATATATACATATCTGTATATGTATATATATATATATATATATATATATATATATATATATATGTAAAAGAATAAATCTTTTAGCGAAAGCCGCTATCGCTTTATTGAATTAAATGGCCAAATACATGGCCTAGGTGAACAAATTCGTTAAACTTCCCGTGCTCGAATCGGTATCAATAAAGTCTTATGATCATTTCGGCCTATCCCAGCCTCATCAGACACTTGGGCTAATACAAATTCAAACTCGGAAAGACCAACTAACAACTTCCAAGCGAGGTTCCTACAGCCTCTGCCGCCTCTCGCCTTTCGACCTAAAAAAGAAAGGTGTAAAAGTTCACTTTCCTATTGCAAAATATCAAAAAAAGTCACAAAAAAAACATTGAAAATGTTATCACCTCTACACCAGGAAAGTAGAAGTAACAATATTGAGGTTTTTGAGTCTCCGCTACCTGAATTTGTTTAAGTTCCTACACCAGAATTTCATTCTCACACAAAATCATCAAGCCCTGTTAATAACTAAAATAAGATTAATATTTTCAAGCATTCACCTACACCAGAAATGAATTTAAGATTATCTCCAAAAATATTTCTCGTTCTCACTAAATATCCAAGCCCTGAGAAAAAATTGTACCCAACCGAAAATTATTTATTGATTATACAACAGTTCTTAACAAAAATTATAATTCTGTCTGATAATAATTTATTATCAAATATTACTTCACACTTCGACAATCGTAACTCGATATCAAACATTTTTTCGCGCTCTAAAAATACAAATTTGGTATCAAGCATTCCATCACATTTTAAAAATCAAAAAATCAAAAGTCAAAATGTGAAAACTTGTGTAACCAGATTCTATGGGGACCCAGATCTAGTATATTGATTAAGTTTGCAAATCTTGTCAGAATAAAAAATAAAAGTTTACTTTGACATGCTGTTTTTTTGTGTCCACACTCATTACAAAATCTTTTCTTCCCAAATAAGTACTTACCTACCTACCTATATTTAATTACGAGTAGGGTGGTAAAATATCACTTTAAAAAATGATAGCTAATCACTAATACAAATCGTGTCAATAACTGGAACAGTTATTGACACGATATGGACACGAAATGGTCAACATCTGGTTCATTTTGCATTTACTTTCAGACATGAAAAATGAACATAATAAAATTGTGCAACATGCAGAAATAATAATAAATTTCCACGATACCAAAAATAGTCATAATAGCCCACAGTATCAAAACATTTCATAGATATATCGACGTGCTTTCCTTAAGAGGCCAATAACTATTGCTTTTACCCTATATGCCTATATCAAAGACATGTTTAATTTGTCACCCTATATTTTATTTAAAGTTTAATACCCGCTTTACTTCTACTTATATAGAAACTTGTAAACAGCTTCTTTAGTTTCATGTGGCATTTTACTATTTCCAAAAAATATTTTTTTTGGCTATCTTTAGGAATAAAATGTAAAATAGTCATTTATTGTACAAGACGATAAAATTGTACTTTATCTTCGAGAGCGTTTTTTAGCGTCGAGACGTCAGTCGAGATTAAATTACTCTGTCAACAAATGTCAAACAAATGTTACAGAAAATCAATCCAGTAGTACCTCGAATCGAAAGTGTTTATGCAAACGAGTACAAGTTGTGATGCTCCAAAAATAGATATTTCTAATAATAATATTTCTAATAATGTTAATTGTAAAATTTCAGTTGTTTTTAATCCTTAATGTGTTTGAATTTGTAAATTTTATTGAATCAAAAAAAGTTAAAACATTTTATCTACTCTTGCTGTTAAAGTGTCACTTTATCTACCCTTGCGGTTAAAGTGATACTTTATCTACTAAAAACAGTTGTTATAGCAACACTGTAACATTAGCTATGGAAAAAAAGTTTTAAAATACCCGGTTTTAATTTTAATTAACTAAATTTAGCTTTTAACAGGTCTATAAAAGTCATTGAGGGTAAAATACATATGAGCAAAGGTTAAGATTCGTAATTCTCTTAGAAACAAAAATCACGAATAAATGAATCGTCATTTTTATCGCAGCTACTGCAATCCATATGAGCTAATTTTTACAATTTAAAGACTTTATTCAACTTCCTTTTGATTTAAGATTTAAAAATAAATCGTTGCAGGATATGCAAGGCTCATCCAAATCATCCTCTTTTAAACTATCAGAATCTTCTTAAACTCCTTTAGAAACTATTTATCTTTTAAAATTGACTGTAATTTATTTATCTTTTAAATTTAACGTTTTTATACCTTTTCCTTTTTGACTTTTATTTTTAAGTTCCTCTTCTATAAGTCCAGATTCCTTCTTTTAGTTCAGATTTATAGGATGAAAAAATTAACACTGCTATTTAACATCTCTTTTTCTTACCACTTGCAGGATTTCTAGTTGCTTTTGGAATCTTAAATATTTTTCTAAAGAAAAAAAAACTACAACTTGCTACTGAAGATGAACCATGAGATTTTGAAAGAGTTCACACGTTTATGAGCCTGTGTGTAGTTTCTGGAGAACGCGATTCTTGTGAAATATTTTTAGTGAAAGATTTATTTAAGTTAAAATCTGTAGGAGTGCTTAGACAACTATAATGTTCTTGTTCTTCTAGTTCTTGTAGATCTTTCGATCTGTTTAATTCTAAAGCCAACATACGATATGCTGATGATGGTGTCTTAATTTGTGACAACATAGTCGATCTTCAACAACTTGTCACTATGATCGGAGAATATAGTAAGCGAATGGGATTAGAGATTAATACCAAAAAGACCAAATTTATGATCATCTCCAGAAACTTAGATGCACTTGAAAACTCCACCATAAATACCTGGGATCGTGGCTTTTTGAAGACTGGGCATCGGACAGGGAAGTAAAATGTCGCATTGAACAAGCTCGACAAGCTTTCGTTAAATTCAAGAAAGTACTGACTTGCTCAGAGTTTGATCTTTAACTGAGACTAAGGTTTACTAAGTGCTACGTATGGTCAGTATATGGCGTAGAGGGCTGGACACTCAAAACGAGGGATTTAAACAGATTAGAAGCTTTCGAAATGTGGCTTTATCGCCGTATCCTAAAAATACCATGGACAGCGAAAATCACAAATATAGATGTCCTTAAAAGAATAAACCAAGAACGCCAACTTTTCGAAACCATCAAGAAAATCAAAACGGCGTATCTAGGTCACATCATGCGAAATGAAAAATACAAATTCCTCCAACTTATAATCGAGGGTAAAATTGAAGGCAAGAGAGGAATGGGACGCAAGAAAATGTCCTGGCTCCGAAACATAAGGCAATGGACAGGGATTAACGACATACAATCTCTGATACATATTGCAAGAAATAGAGAATTAATGGAAAATGTGATCGCTAACATCCATTAGTGGATTTGCATCTGAAGAAGAAGAAGAATTCTAAAGCAGCCTCTGGTTAAATTTCTGGGACGTAAATTGCCAACTATCCCTTAATCTTTTATGTGGTATTCCGAGAGGTCTTGAACCAGGCGAATTGTTTTCTAGAACAATTTTTGGAAGTCTATATTTATCCATTCGTCTTACATGATTGTACCACATCCTCTTACGCTGCCTTACCCATCTTACCCTGTCTCTTCTTGTTTTACCCACTATTGTTCTTATGGTTTTCATTTCGCCAACCCTTAACATATGTAACTGCAATCTAATCTGCAACTATAATGTTTCACTTGTAATTTACCTCCAACTTCTTCGTGGATTTTCTTGACAATTAATTTACTTTTCTATGGTTTTAGATAGACACAACATCCAATCTGAAAATACTTATGGATCAAGTGGGTATATTCCTGTTTTTTAAATCCACTAATTGCAGTTTCCATGGTTGCTGCTTTTATGAAAGCAACTTCAAAAAACTTCTATACCTCATAAATTGTTACCGCCGTCGCAGATTTTAACGCATCCATTTTATCACATTTTTACTATAACAAGTGCTAAACGGCGCAGTTAAAAATGCATCAAGAAGGCTGCATTCTATGAGTCCAGTGAGACAACAAACATTATTACAATGTTATTTTTTCGTGACATATTTATAAGTTCTATGCTCTTATTATGTGCTGCATAACATTCAACAACTAAAGCTTTATTAGAAGTAATAGAGCATATTGTTCACGGTTTTGATGCAGATGAACCTACTAATGGCTTAATGTGTGACTTTACAAAAGCTTTTGATTGTGTGGATATTCAAACACTATTGATAAAATTGGAGTACTATGGAATAAGGGGTACCATACATGACCTTTTAAAATCCCATCTTACTGAAAAAATACAGATTGTTCCATTTAATAATGAAGAATCTGATCCTTTACCAGTTTCAACTGGAGTACCACAAGGATCAGTTTTGGGACCTTTGCTATTCTTGATTATATAAATGTTTTACCAAGTGCATTGGATAACACCAACTGTGTTCTTTTTGCAGATGACACAACCTTTTTATGTAGAGATATAACTGATTACAGTCAGGAAATATTAGAAAAATGTAAATCCTGGTTTAACTGTAACAAACTTAAGTTAAACGAGCAGAAAACTCAGACAATAGTATTTAGTTCTGATAGACGGGTTACACCATCTCAACCAGTAACGTTACTAGGTGTTACTATGGACACAAGGTTGAACTGGTCGCACCATATTGAACGATTGT